ACACGTGCTTCCCAAATAACCATGCGGGGTCGTCTACGTGAGGCAGCAGTGCCTATCGAGTTTCACAGGGCCGCATCACCAACAGTGCGTTTCCGAAATCCTCGTGGTGTAATGGAGTCTCGACCAAAGGCAGCGTTGACAACTCTAACGCTTCTGGGTGTCATATATACTGCGAGTATCAGCGGTGGGTATGGCTTGGAGGAGTCTGTAAGTGCTGGTGGGCCGCTGTTAACTATAGTATTCCTCTGTATCATCCCATTTCTGTGGGGTATACCCGTGTCATTGTGCGTTGCGGAACTCTCGTGTGCGATTCCGTCAAATGCTGGTCCTATCATGTGGGTGAACGTCACATTTGCTCCATGGTTTACTTTCTGCACCGTTCTTTGGACTGCCTTCCTGAACTTCGTCGACAATAGTCTGTACCCAACAGTCCTTGCGGACTACAGCGCGGCTCTGCTGCACCTCAACTTTGTTGAAAAATCCATAGTGAAGGTGGTTTTCTTGTGGACGTGCGCTGCAATCAATATGGTGGGGGTCTACCTAGTTGGTGCACTTAGTGTGGGGGTGATGTTGGTGACGCTGTTGCCCTTCCTTCTCATGTTCCTGTTTCAACTTCCTCACGGTTTCAATTGGGAACGGGTTGCGTATGTGCCAGAGAATATAAACTGGGCTGTATTTCTTCCTGTCGTTGCGTGGAATTTTTCCGGTTTTGACAGTGCTGGCAACGTTATTGAGGAGGTAAGTAATCCAAACCCAACTTTCATTCGAGCCCTTGTGTTGATGATTATTTCCGCCTTGGCAACTTACATCCCACCTATTTTAGTGGGGGCAAGCGCCGAAGCACTGAAGGATACACCCTTTGACAACTGGAACAATGGATTCTGGGTGAAGGTCGGGGAGGCGGTTGGCGGCTACGGCATGGGTGTTGTTGTGATGATTGGTGGCACCATCTCCACACTAGGACTCATGACGACACTACTGACAACAACTTCACGCTCATTGGCTGGAATGGGAACACTCAATGCCTTTCCGTTTATCTCCAACTGGCTTGCGCGTTACCACACCAAGCGCGGCACACCAATCAATGCCATAATAGTCAACACAACAATCACATCCATTCTGTCAGTATGCCTCTCTTTCGAGACCCTTGTGGAGTTAGATCAGGTTTTGTACTCGCTGCGCCTCATCGCGATTCTTCTTGTATTCCTGCGACTACGATTCACGCAGCCGTTGCTTGAGCGTCCCTACCACGCACCGGGAGGCCGATTCTGGGCGCTGCTCTGGGGTGGCGTACCAATTGCCTTTAGCAGTTGCCTCATTCTGGTGTCGATGTTGGGCAGCATCATGCTTTTCTGGAGTACCGTAGCTTTGGTAGTTGGGACTATAGTTGTTTCATTCTTTGGGGTGCGCCTCTTTAGACCGGAGGGATTTGAGGGTAAACTTGTTGAGGAATATGAAGACGCTGATATGCAGACGTACGGAACGGTTCTGGAGTGCGAATCGAATGAGTGGCGCAAGACACACCCGCATCACACTTTTATTGAGCGTGGTGTGACACCATATCATCCTGTTTGAGTATGGAGGTATTGTTATGTTAGCCAAAATAATGATATATCTACATAATTCAGTTTATTTCTAAGAGGGAGAGATGAGAATGCAAGGCTAAGATACAGAGAGATGATCCGATTCAAGGAACGTAAGATGGTGGTGTGAAAAAGCGTCAGTTGTTTGTCCCCGATTGCATTCAGTTTCGTACTTGGCTCCATATCGAGTAAGGAAGAAAGAAGGATATGACGAGTTTTTTTTTTTTTTACACCCGAGTCCAGCAGCTCACCTGTCAACCGCGGGGCGTCTCGTACAATTACTGTTTTTTTTTCTTCGTTTTTGGAGCGCCTTCATAGTTAAATGTACCACACGGTTGCTCTCGTTTACCTTTTATCGGTAACTATTAACTTGATTCCTCTTGTGGAATTGTTTCTACTCCCAATCTTCTTCCATGTATCGGATATATATTTTCATTTAAATCTTGTTCTTGTTGGGTGCCAGTGACTCCTTCGCTTTCGTGTCGCAAATACACACCCAGCAACAACCAAGAAACAAACAGTACGTAAGATATGGCTGAAGCTAAGAAGCCTTGGGATGCGCGGTACGCCAACCCCAGTATTCCCCACACAAACTCCTACTACCTTAAGTGCGTAGGCGGTGGCATCCTCTCGTGTGGCCTGACGCACACGGCTGTCTGCCCCCTCGATGTTGTGAAGTGCAACATGCAGGTGAGCCCCGAAAAATTCAAGGGAATTTTCTCCGGCTTCAAGGTTGTCGTCGCCGAGGATGGCTTGGGCGCGAAGGGCATCTGGAAGGGGTGGGCGCCCACCCTCCTCGGCTACTCCATGCAGGGGGCGGGTAAGTTTGGCCTTTACGAGGTCTTCAAGGACATGTACGCCAACCTCGCCGGCGAGAAGGCGGCGAAGCAGTACGAGGGCCTCATTTGGCTCGCAGGTTCGGCGAGTGCGGAGTTCTTTGCCGACATAGCCCTCTGCCCGATGGAGATGGTAAAGGTGAAGGTGCAGACGTCCCCCAGTGGGACATTCCCAACAGGCTTCGGCGCCGCCCTCGCGGCGATGCGAGCGAACCCGAATTCCGGCTTCCCGTTCAAGTCGCTCGTGCCGCTGTGGTCGCGCCAGATCCCGTACACGATGGCGAAGTTCTACTTCTTCGAGAAGGTGGTGCGTCTGTTCTACGAGCATGTCTTCACGAAGCCAAAGAATGAGTACAGCAAGGCGACACAGCTCAGCATCACCTTTGCCTCTGGCTACATTGCGGGTATTGTCTGCGCTATCGTCTCGCACCCCGCCGATTCGCTTGTCTCTGCGCGCGGCAAGGTCTCCAACGCAGGCAAGACGTACGGCCAGATCGCCAGTGAAATGGGATACATGAACCTCTGCACCAAGGGCCTCATGGCGCGTATCATCATGATCGGTACGCTGACGGGTCTCCAGTGGTGGTGCTACGACACGTACAAGAGTGCGCTTGGCCTCGGCACCAGCGGCGGCTCCGGCAAGAAGTAGACCGAGCGACACTAAAAAAAAAAGAGCAGGGAGGGAGTCTTAAGGAAAGTAGAAAGGATGAATGTGCGCGGCCAGCGAATTCCTTCGCTCTTGTTCTCCTGACGTTCGTTTTTTTTTTNTTTTTTTTTTTCGTCTCCTTTGGTTTTGTGTGCGTCGCTGCCCGATTTGAGTGGGACGCGGAGGCGTAATGATATTTGCGGATACCAACGTATTGCCGATTCATGAAGATGCATCTGTAGCCCATGCCGCCTCGTCGCATCCACAAACACAAAACGCCGCCACCACCACCACCACCACTACCGCATTTGCTTCCTGGTGCTGCTTCTGCTGCTGCTGTGGGAGGAATGGCGCAAGGTGGTTGGTGCTGGTGGGGCGCAGCTGCTTTCTTCTCACCGCAGCGGCAACGGTGGCGGGGGAGGAGGAGATGGATGGGGAGATCAAACGGCAGCGACACTATAATGGGAGAGAGGGAGAAAGGGAGAGCAGAAGAGGGGGGAGGGCGATGAAAGGTAAGGGGCGCACAGTGGGATTTTGTGTCCCACCCTTCTCCTTTTTCTTTTGCTTTCTCTTCTCTTTCCGTTGCTTAACAAAGAAAGGCCCCTGTCGTGGGTTAATGGGTAAATGAGGGGACGCGGAGACAACAGCAATGGAGCGAAGAAAAACAAACAGAAAAAAA